TACTAATACTCCCCTTGGCTTCTACAGGCATCGCCACTTCCATGAGATTGCGTCATTGGAGCAGATTCAAACGTTCAAATTGGAGAAGTAGTCTGCCGAGGCCTTGCATACGCTGGAGTCCAGAATAAGCCACTCTAGTCCACTTCTTCTATATTCACTTGTAAACTATTTCTCGTCCACCTGTACCTGATTAGATATTCTTGACAGGTGAAGGGCGTGTGCACAAAGGAGACTCGGAAGCGATAAGGATGCGGAAGTTGTACAGGTATGCGTTTTTGTACAATGTCTGCATACCTAAATTATATCATTTTTGGATGACAAGGTCTGTCGGTCGTGGCAGTGGCTATAATATCCTTGCGTCTTATGTGTGCAGGCACGGAGAATGCTCGACTTGCAGGCAAGCTCTGCAAGCTCACACGGCTTTACTATGAGGAAGCTCATCAAGTCTTCCGTGTTAGCTTCTCAACTCTCCACTTCATTTTGTGTCCTCTTTTGGGTGTATGGCTTTCTAATTCGCTCTGGTTAAATGCGTAGTTTTGGACTCCTCAAGGCGTTGCTACTTTTGGGGAGGGCATTTCAACTATATCGCGCCATATTATTGTTTCCGCTTTCCATTAATAATGTAAGTATATATCTGACACATCCCGTGCTTAAAGGACTTCCATTTTCTTTTAATTCCTTCGGATAAGTGACTGACTATTTCTCATCATGCTTTGACTTGTGGCTCGACCGGAAATTGGCCGCCATTCAAGATAGGGCTGTCAACGGGTGGGATCCGGGTCCGGTCTAGGTAGAAGCACTCCCGAGTAGATCCTTAGTTGGGACAAAACCTTAGACCCAAACGTTTGAATTGGAGCAGATTCAAACGTTTGAATTGGAGCAGATTCAAACGTTTGAATTGGAGCAGTAGTCCGTCGAGGCTTTGCATACGCTGGAGTCCATAATAACCCACTCTAACCCTCTTCTTCTATATTCACTTGTAAACTATTNTGGAGCAGTAGTCCGTCGAGGCTTTGCATACGCTGGAGTCCATAATAACCCACTCTAACCCTCTTCTTCTATATTCACTTGTAAACTATTTCTCGTCCACCTGTTCCTGATTAGATATCCTTGACAGGTGAAGGGCGTGAGCGCAAAGGAGACTCGGAAGCGATACGGATGCGGAAGCTGTACAGGTATACGTTTTTTATACAATGTCTGCATACCTAAATTATATCATTTTTGGATGACAAGGTCTGTCGGTCGTGGCAGTGGTTATAATATCCTTGGGTCTAATGGGTGCAGGCACGGAGAATGCTTGACTTGCAGGCAAGCTTAGCAAGCTCACACGGCTTTACTATGAGGAAGTTGGTCCAATCTTCCGTGTAAGCTTCTCAACTCTCCACTTCATTCTTTGTCCTCTTTCGGGTGTATGGCTTACTAATTCGCTCTGGTTAAATGTGTAGTTTTGGATTGCTCGAGGCGTTTCTACTTTTGGGGAGGGCATTCCGACTATATTGCGTCATACTATTCTTTCCGGTTTCCGTTAATAATGTAAGTATATCTGACACATCCCTTGATTAAAGGACTTCTATTTTCTTTTAATTCTTTCGAATAAGTGACTGACTATTTCTCATCACGCTTTGAATGGGGGCTCGACCGGAAATTGGCCGCCATTCAAGACAGGGCTGCCAACGGGTGGGATCCGGGTCCGGTCCAGGTGGAAGCACTCCCGAGTAGATCATTAATTGGGACAAAACCTTAGAGTCAAAACCGTCCATTTTAAATTGAAATTTAGGTAGGAACAATCACATAGGTATAAATCCGAACCATTTAAGCTATAAAAAACCACTTTTCTTATTTAAATCGCAAACTAAAATTTAAACTTTAATCATATATCATTAACAAAATTGATAGAAAATTCTAAGTTACATATTTGTTAAAATGTTAGACACCTTTATTTATCTATCTATCAGATTCAACACTTTAAACATATGATAAGAGAGAAACTATAAGAAAACGAAGGAAATAATATATATGGTTGACAAATTAATCGGTTTTGGGCATGAAACCATTCGGGAGGGGCGAGAACCGGAACCTACCCAATTATTTATTTCAGCATAATCATGGAGCCGGATCCTTTATAAACGGTTTGGTCCATTCGGGCCATCCGGGTAGACCTGAACCGTTGACAGCCCCTTCAAGAAAATTAACGATGATAGCGATTGTGCTACAGCAAGGTTGGTATCCCTTTTCCTTCTCCCTTTCGACCTGTATTTCGAGGTAAGGACCTTTCAAAACCGCACTCAATGTTCGTACCTTTGTTATTGAGGCATAAGATTTTGTTCTGCGAAATTGGTTTTGGTTTTTCACGAATTTATAAATTCTGCTAATGCAATTTCTGCCTTGTCATTGCAGGAACGTTCTAATGGGTTCGGATTGYAAACTGCCGTATCAGAATGACTGCCACAGGGTAAGCCACCATTCGTTATATCTGTTGGAACTTTTTATAAGGGCTTATCTTGCTTTATTGCCGTTTTTTGTGGTTGTAACTTCTTTTAATCTACTAATACTTCCCATGGCTTCTACAGGCATCGCCACTTCCCTGTGATTGCGTCATTGGAGCAGATTCAAACGTTCGAATTGGAGCAGTAGACCGCCGAGGCCTTGCATACGCTGGAGTCCATAATAAGCCACTCTAACCCTCTTCTTCTATATTCACTTGTAAACTATTTCTCGTCCACCTGTTCCTGATTAGATATTCTTGATAGGTGAAGGGCGTGAGCGCAAAGGAGACTCGGAAACGATACGGATGCGGAAGCTGTACAGGTATGCGTTTTTTGTACAATGTCTGCATACCTAAATTATATCATCTTTGGAGGACAAGGTCTGTCGGTCGTGGCAGTGGCTATAATATCCTTGGGTCTTATGGGTGCAGGCACGGAGAATGCTCRACTTGCAGGCAAGCTCTGCTAGCTCTAACGGCTTTACTATGAGGAAACTGGTCCAATCTTCCGTGTAAGCTTCTCWACTCTCCACTTCATTCTGTGTCCTCTTTTGGGTGTATGGCTTTCTAATTCGCTATGGTTAAATRCGTAGTTTTGGACTCCTCGAGGCGTTGCTACTTTTGGTGAGGGCATTCCAACTATATCGCGCCATACTATTGTTTCCTTTTTCCGTTAATAATRTAAGTATATCTGACACATCCCTTGCTTAAAGGACTTCCATTTTCTTTTAATTCTTTCGGATAAGTGACTGACTATTTCTCRTCATGCTTTGACTGGTGGCTCGACYGGAAATTGGCCGCCATTCAARATAGGGCTRTCAACGGGTGGGATCCGGGTYYGGTCTRGGTAGAAGCACTCCCGAGTAGATCATTAATTGGGACAAAACCTTAGAACCAATAYCGTCCRTTTTAACTTAAAATTTAGGTTGAAAYWAAWACATAKGTTTAAAACCGAACCATTTATGCTAAAAAACACCACTTTTCTTATTTAAATCGCAAACTGAAATTTAAACTTTAATCATATATCGTTAATAAAATTGATAGAAAAATACTAAATTACTTATATGTTAAAACGTCTGACACCTTTATTTATCTATCTACCTATCAGACTCGACACTTTAAACCTATGATAAGAGAGAAACTGTAAGAAAACGAAGGAAATAATATATATGGTTATCAAAATAATCGGTTTCGGGATGAATCGATTCGGGAGGGGCCAGTACCGGAACCGACCCAATTATTTATTTCAACATAATCATGGAGCCGGATCCTTTATAAATGGTTTGGTCGATTCAGACCAGCCAGGTAGGCCAGAACCGTTGACAGCCCCTTCAAGAACCTGAACGATGATAGTGATTGTGCTGCAGCATGGTTGGTATCCCTTTTCCTTCTCTTTTCGGACCTGTACTTCGAGGTAAAGACCTTTCAAAACCGCACTCGATGTTCGTACCTTTGTTATTGAGGCATAAGATTTTGTCCTGTGAAGTTGGGTTTGGATTTTCACGAATAAATAAATTCTACTAAGGCAATTTCTGCCTTGTCATTGCAGGAACGTTCGAATGGGTATGGATTGTCAACTGCCATATCAGAATGACTGCCATAGGGTAAGCCACCATTGGTTATATCTGTTGGAACTTTTTATAAGGGCTTCTCTTGCTTTATTGCCGTTTTTTGTGATTGTAACTTCTTTTAATCTACTAATACTCCCCTTGGCTTCTACAGGCATCACCACTTCCATGAGATTGCGTGATAGGAGCAGATTCAAACGTTTGAAATGGAGCAGTAGTCCGTCGAGGCTTTGCATACGCTGGAGTCCATAATAACCCACTCTAACCCTCTTCTTCTATATTCACTTGTAAACTATTTCTCG